ACACATCCACTACCTGTTTTTAGGCCAAACACAACGCAAGCTTTGAAGTGAATTCTGAACATGATTTCACATGATAGCGGTGAATGTTGACAGTAAATAATGCAGAGGTTCATCAGTGCCTGTAGTGGGAGATGGAGATGATGACCAGCAGGTTGAGGGTGGAGGTGAGCAGAGAGATGAAGAACAGCAGGGTGTAAACCAGCACATCCTCAGAGCGAGGAGGTGGTGGCATCTTGCATGAGGTGTTCAGGAGTTGTGGGAAGCAGAGTTCAGCTTCATCCATCATCAGAGCTGCAGAGTTTGGATGCTTTGCAACCACAGCTCAGGCTGACACTTCCTTTATCTCCTTTCCCTCCTCTCTCTCTGGTGGACATGAACCTCCCTCGTGTTCTGAACCAACCCAATTTGTTCCTCTTGTGTACCACCGCCCTCTGCTCTGTCTAACACTACATCTGAATTAATCCAGTTACTTTTGGAAATGTTGAGTTTACTCTTGTTTTAGTTGTTTGTCCTGTCCAAACCTGAGCTTTTCCAAATGTCACTCCACTGTGTTAAAAGTTAAAGTGTGTAGCTGATTGCTGCTTTTAACAAGGAGTGATTCTCCTGTTTGCAAACCAGCTTTGTCATGTTTGTCTCCATCACCTGGACATGCAAGACAATTAAGAGTCCTAACTGAATGAGATTGTTATAGGTTAATCTTCATTCATGGTGAAACAGCGCTGGTTCACAGCAATCAGCAGCATAGCAGGTCAGAGGATGATGCAGTCAACATGGCACTGCATTACCTCCTGCAAAGTCTAGATTCTCCAGGGACCTATGTTCGGATCCTCTTTGTGGACTTCAGTTCAGAATATAACACCATCATCCCAGACATCCTCTGCTCCAAACTAAACCAGCTCACTGTGCCTGCCCCCACCTGTCAGTGGATCGCCAGTTTTCTGAAAGACAGGAAGCAGCAGGTGAGGTTGGGGAAATCCACATCCAGCACCCGGTCTCTCAGACAGTCTTTCAGAACAGGTGCCCCTCAAGGATGTGTGCTCTCCTTGCTGTTGTTCTCCCTCTATACCAGTGACTGCACCTCAGGAGACCCTTCTGTAAAAATCCCGAAGTTTGCAGACGACACAACAGTCTCATTCAAGACGGTGACAAATCAGCCTAAAGATGGGAAGTTGAACAGCTGGCCCTGCGGTGTGGTTGTAATAACCTGAAGCTGAACACCTTGAAAACTGTGGAAATGATAGTGGATTTTAAGAGGAACTCCCCCACCCTATCTCCACTCACTATACTCAGCTGCACTATTTCAGTCGTGGAGTCCTTCAAGTTCCTGGGCTCCACAGTCTCTCAGGAGTTGAAGTGGACAACCAACATCAGTGCCGTCATTAAAAAGGTGCAGCAGAGGATGCACTTCCTGCAGCAGCTCAGGAAGTTCAACCTGCCTCCAGAGCTGCTGATCCAGTTCTATAGTGGAATTATCGAGTCTGTTCTCTGCACTTCCATCTCTGTCTAGTTTGGTTCGGCAACAAGACAGGACAGGAACAGATTCCAGCGGACAGTCAGGACTGCAGAGAAAATCACTGCTGCCAGCCTGCCCTCCATGGAGGACCTGTACACCTCATGGGTCAGAAGGAAGGCAGAGAGGATTTCTGCAGACCACTTACACCCTGGACACAAGCTCTTTGAACTCCTCTCCTCTGGACATTGCTACAGGTCACTGTACACCAAGACAACCATCTTCTGATCTACGTGAGACCGTTTCACATTATCCGCATATTGATCTTCTGTGCCTCTCCCCATGTAGTCCCCAGCCTGTCTCCAGTCTCCTGGGCTACACCTCTGCTGTTTTACTAGCTCAAGCCACTACCACAGCATTCAGCTATGCTACCCCTGTAGCAGCTTTCCCGTACCGGCACCATTCTATCTGGGCCGATCCTCCACTGCCTGCTGTAAGATATATAAGCAAGGAAAACGGGTGCATTAAAATAACCAAAGCTCGGTGGTTCTGGACGGTCATCAATGCAGCTGTAGTGAGCATAAACAAGTAAGATAAAGTTGTGAAAGGTAACTAAAAGGAACTACAGGTATGAGTAGTAACTAAAGCTGATAAAGTAACTAGAGTCTATAAGACTCAAATCTTACAACACAGAAACTGATGATTCTGTTTTTTTAAAAGGACACAATGTGAAGCTTGTAAATCCAGTGGTCCGTAGACCTGTAATCATTCTTGCACTGCTTATCAGTCAGCTTTAATAAATTTTGAACAGCTTAAGTGTGCATAGTTTGAGTATTGCAAGCAAGATTTATGTCCAGCACCCATGAATGTGTATTGAGACAAGGGAGGGTGGAGATCTCACCAAGTGTCAAGGTCTCGCTGTGCTTTTGATGTTGCAAAGGCAGCTGGAGAAGGTATGCGAGTTGTTAGATGTGAGACAACGGTATGAGTTTTATAGATGTGTATTGTATCACTTTGGTATAAAGGGACTGCCCCTTTACCAGTCACTCAGAGAACTCTGCGCGACTGAAAAGCTGTGTATGACTTCTCTCCATGCTGCATGAAATAAAGAATTCTTTGAAGCTACTCTCCGGACTCCAGACATCTTTATTGGGTCCTGCCCCGTTCCCACTACCACAGACCGGATTGTTATGGCCACTGACAGTGTACGATGTACAAATGTCTAAGGTAGAGAAGTTAGAAAGAATGTTTAGCATGTACATTAGGAAGTGCCTGGGAGCTCTGTGCTGCCTCAGCAGTGTGGCCCTGCATAGAAATGGGATTATGGAGCCCCCTAAAACCAGTTGAACAGAAGAGTTTAAATGCACTAGCGCTAGACTGGGGATAACTTTGTCAGAATCCAGGTATGTATAAGTGCAGAACACAGCATCAACAGTCTCAGCAGGGAGGAAGTGGAACCTGAAGGAGGCAGTGTTCCAGGCTCAGGCAGCTCTTAAACACCAGGATACTGTAGGGCATGTACAGCATGGACATGGTCTCAGAGGATCTGTCCTGGACCACCAACACCTGCAGCCTGATTAAGAAGGCTCTCCAGCGCCTCTTCTTCCTGAGGACAATGAAGAACTACCTGTCTTCAGCCATCTTGGTGAACTTCTACCGCTATGCCATCGACAGCATCCTGACCAGCTATATCACAGTCTGATATGGAAACTCTGTCTCCTACTGCAAGGCGTTGCAGCAGGTGGTGAAAACTGCCCAACATATCACAGGGATTCCACTTCCAGCCATCAAGGGTGTCCACAGGGAACGCTGTCTCCAACATGCTCGCAGCATTCTCAAGAACTCTTCTCACCCTGCTCACAAACTGTTTGACCTCACCCCTTCTCATCTCTCCTCCTGGGACTAATGCAATACACTTCTGTTACCTGTAACACTGAAGTGATCTGTTAATTTGCACATACTCTACTCACAGAATACTGCTCTTTTATTCATTTGCACACTGTTCATATGCAGATACTGTATATTTATCTTTGCACTATTTACATCCATTGAACTTATATTCTGCAATAATTCATTCCATTTCATCCCATTGCACTAGTGTTTTATAAGCTTAGTGCACTTTATCCATTACTTGTAATTTAAATCCATAAAGTGTGTTGTATATTGTACATTACCCTACATATCTTACTGTAAATATCAATTGTACATATCTATCGGTAAATCAGTTCTGACGGTACATACTGTGCACTCTGCACTGCTGTCATTACACTTCTGGTTAGATGCTAAACTGTATTTTGTTGCCTTGTACTTGTGCATTTGTAATGACAATACAGTTGAATCTAATCTAATCTATTCTAGAATGTTACGGAATCTGTACTCTCATTATTAGTATTGCTTACAGTACTGCTACTTTCAAATGCTACTAATACTTCTAACACTAAGAACAGATAGATCGACCTTCTTGGTAGAATGTTTTATTCCTCCTTTCTTTCATCCTTATTTCCTTTATTCCTCCCATTCTTCCGTCATGTTGTTTCTTTAATTTTTGTCCTCTGCTCTTCACCCCTTCTTACCTTTCTTTCATTCCTTTCTCCTTTCTTTCCTTACATCCTTCCATGCTGCTGTTTCCTTTCCTTCCTTCCCTCATACCTTTATTTTTTTATTTTATCTTTTCTAACTTTTTTCTACTTGTGCATTCTTTTTCTTTTGTACTTTTTTCAATCAGTGTTGTTTTGGTTTGGTGCCCCTCGTATAGCTTTAAATGCACTAACATTTCAACAATCAGCAACATCTCTCAGCGCTCAGCATCTTTTCCACAGCGTATCAGCTGTCGCGTGTAATTTTTTCAGAAATGACCTTTTTTAGTTATGTTTAAGGATGCAGATCCTTTGCAGTCAATGCCTGAAGTCTGGATGTGACAGATTCTGAGTTTCCTCCTTTGAGATGCTTTGCCAGTCCGTTACTGCAGCGGCCTTCAGTTGCTGCTTGTTTGTAGGCCCTTGTGCCTATGTAGCAGATGAACATTCTCAAAACCTTACAGTGCATATTATTTTATTTTGGTGGGTTAATGCCCACTTCTATTGTTGAGATCTCCATGTAATGCATTCAGTTCTTTGTTTCATGTCATATTGTTCAATATTTTTGCATAGATGTGTTGCCTTGAATGGTTTTGTTGGTCAGGAGCTTTTATTTTGAAGGCCATTGCCCCGTTATTTTGTTTCCTGCTTCGTCACGGTCCTCCTCAGTTACTGTGGAAAGCTGAGGAGAGGTGAGCTGTATACTCTGCTCCTGTAATTTTAAGTGTTTTATTTCCATAAAAAAAATGCACTTTACCGTTCAGATTGTTATGGCACAGAGATATAAGCCACTGTTTTCTGTTGCATAGTTGCTAACGGTGTGAAAATTGTTCTTTCCTGTGTGAAGTACACAACTTTATTAACGTGCTAACTAGCCATAGTTGCAATGTTTCAGCTAGGTTGAAGCACGTTGAAGGTCTCGCGTGGAGTCTGTTGTTGCCTTTTTCTGCCCTTCAGATGTGAATAGAAAGACCTGACAGGTGGATGTACTGATTTAGTTGTGTTTCACACAGGTAATAAGAGTGTTTTATTTGCATTATTATTTTGATATATTTAGCACACACTCAGTTACTGTGGAAAGCTGAGGAGAGAGAATAAACTCTCCTGTGGATGACAAACCCCTGTCTATGATTCGTCACTAAAGACACAACGCAGAGATTTAACTTGATGGCCGCGTAGAGATGAGACCGGCTACACTGGTGCCATGACCCGGATCCTTTTGGTCAGCCACTGCTGATCACCAAGGTTCTGCTGTGAGCTTGTGACGCCCGCAGTTCAAGTTGGTGGGCCAATGGTTCCAGTTTGCTCCTAGTTTGGTCGCCATTTTGACAAATTATTCCTAGTAGACATAAGACTGTGAATCACGTAGCTCCTATATAAGAATAATAAGACAGATATTTGTCTATGATTTCTAAACCACATTTTGTATTCAGCTTCATTTGGTTTTATTTTGTGGATACACCTGCTATTGGGAGGGGGCGAGGGTTGTTTAGTTTTGCAAAAACATCTGTGAGTGAAACACCAGGGCCTTTCCCTAGAAGGCTGTTTGGGTCAGACAGTGTTAATGACAGACACGAACCCTTGTACTCCACACCAACTAGTTCCAATGAGAATGCCACACAGCAGTTACGTGAACTTATTGGTGAATTAGGGAGTCAAATAGGTGAGTCCATAGCTGGCCGCCTTCTAGCCTGCCAGACTGCACCCATTTCACAACAACCTCCCTCTGCTAACCCATCTAAGGCTGAGACATTAAATGCAACTGCTGATCTCTCTAAAGTGAGCCTGATAGTCAGACCTGACATCAAGGACCCTCCCATGTATCGTGGGGACGGAACAGACAAATACTCCATTCAAGAGTGGATTGATATGGTGGAAGTGTATTTGCATAAAAGAGAACTATCAGCTAATGAACAAGTAGATGAAGTCTTAAGTCACCTCCTTGGTAGGGCCAAGAGCATTGTCAAAGTCGGGCTGAAGAGCAGTGTATCAGCCAACATTGTCATAACCACAGAGACAATATACTGCATCCTGAGACGCTACTTTAGTGAGACACCTGGTTCCTGTTTACCAGTGGCTGATTTCTTTGCTACTCAGCCTACAGCCAAATAAACACCTGTAGACTATTGGGTCAGGCTAAACACAGCAGCTGAGGCAGCTGACCAGCACTTAAAGCGCCAAGGTGGCAAGATGGACAACATGGACTCAGAAATAGCCATGATGTTTATTAGAAACTGTCCAGATTCCAACCTCGCTTGTGTATTCAAGTGTAAACCCATAGGCAGGTGGTCCCTAATTGAAGTGCAGGAGGCAATTGATGAACATCAAAGAGAGCACCATGCTGAAAAATCAACCACAAACATAGCTAAAGCACATGCCCTCCAGATGGCAACCGCTGTGACAACTAGTGAGCCATCTGAAAGTAATGTAGACTACACCAGTGTGAACTCAGCCAAGCTAACTAGCTTAACTAAGCCAAGTGAAACAGCTGTTGCAGAGTTGAGTACATTAGAGCGAGTGCTTAGCATGTTGGAGAGAGTGTTGGAACATACAAACCAGTCTGCTGTTGCTAGCGCCAGGCCAGAGCCCTTGTCATTTGGTCGCGTAGCCCCATGCAGAGTGTGTGGGCATAGTTCGCACTCAACGCGGACACACTGTATGAGGGAGAAAAGATGTCTGGGCTGCTTAGAAGTTGGGCATCAGAGAAAAGACTGTCCTAAACCTCTTACCACCCAGCGAGACAATACCCCAGCTCATCAGGAAAACTAATTCACTCACATGAGGGAGGGGACAGTGTGAGTGATAGACATGAAACCCTCATTCATAACAATGATGCACAGTCCATCTATGCAGAATGCATAAAGTCAGTCCCATCTGATGTTGCTGTGTTGGTCCAAAACATAGCCAGGCTTGACAAAGCTGATAGCTTATTCTATGTTAATGCGCAGGTGGAAGATGTAGTCTCACTTACTGCCTTGCTTGACACTGGCTCAATGGCATGCACTATCAGTGAGGAAGCTGAGCAAATGCTGACCATCATTGGATCAGCAGCTGAACCCAATGATACTTGTCCTGACATTGTGCTTGTTGGCTGCGGTGGAGTCAAAGTTAAGCCCAAATGCATGTATGACTTGAAGATGGAAGTGTATGGTTACACCTTCAGGGTTCCTGCCTTAGTAGTTCCGGGTCAAAAGGATCAGATGATCCTGGGGACAAATGTGATAAAGCACCTCCTCAAGCAGTTCAAACAGTCCACACAGTTTTGGAAGGTCTTGAGTAAACCCGAGTCAGCAGAAGCACCTGAGATAATGCAGTTTCTAAACATGTTGTCTGGCATTAACAGGTGGAGGGGTGATAGTATCCCTGATGTCATCGGGACTGCCAAGCTGACCAGGGCCGTGACTCTCCTGCCCAGGCAAGAACATTTACTTTGGAGCAAGCTGCCTGGAACTTCGGCTCTCTCTGAAGGTAGTGCAGTCATGGTTGAACCAACAAAAGCTCACATCCACCAAGGCGACGTCATTGTCTGCAGGTCTGTAACAACTATAAACGGTGACAGATGGATCCCGGTTAGAGTATTAAACACCTCCAACAAGCCTGTCACTTTGAGGCACAACACAAAGATTGCAGATGTGTCAGCCTGCATTGCTGTTGAAGATCTGGACGAGGTCTCTGAGAAAAGTGCAGTCAGTTCGCTTCAGGTGCAAAATCAGACAGTGTGCAACAAACCAGCCAACAACACTGAAAGTCCTTTCCAGTCAAGTTACCAAGACGCCTTAGCCAGGCTAGGACTTGAAAGTCTTGACATTGACTCTTGCGAGGTGTCACATTACTGGAAAGATCAGCTTCTGCAGCTTATCCAAAAGTACAAAGATGTCTTCTCAAAAACCAAGCTCGACTGTGGATCAGCAAAGGACTTTGTCCACCAGATCCATCTATCTGACACTCGACCTTTCAGACTCCCATACCGCCGTGTCCCGCCCGGGCAATACCATAAGCTCAGGGAAGTGCTCTCAGAAATGGAGGAACTCGAGATCATTCGCAAATCAAACAGCGAGTGGGCGTCACCACTAGTTCTTGTGTGGAAGAAGAATGGGGACCTCAGGATATGTGTGGACTATCGCTGGTTGAATGCACGTACGAGAAAGGATGCCCATCCATTGCCCCACCAAGCAGACTGTCTGGCAGCCCTTGGCGGCAGTGCTGTATTCAGTGCAATGGATCTTACCTCCGGCTTCTACAACATTGCCATGGCAGAAGAGGACAAGAAGTTGACGGCCTTCACGACACCTATGGGCTTGTATGAATTTAACAGGCTCCCACAAGGATTGTGCAATAGCCCGGCCAGTTTCATGCGACTCATGATGAGTATATTCGGTGACCAAAACTTCCTGACTCTCCTGTGCTATCTGGATGATGTACTGGTGTATGCACCTGACGAAGCTGAAGCTCTGAAAAGACTGGAAACAGTCTTCGGCAGATTGAGAGCCCATGGGCTAAAACTAGCACCTAAGAAGTGTCAGCTACTCAGGAGGAGTGTCAAGTTCTTGGGACATATCGTGGATGGGAATGGAGTTTCAACCGACCCTGACAAGGTCAAAGCCATTACTTCAATGACTGAGACGGACCTTATGATGGAGGATGGCACAACTCCTTCTCAAAAGAAAATCAAGTCATTTTTGGGCATGGTCATATACTACCAGAATTTCATCCCAGACTGTTCCAGCATTGCCAAACCCCTTTTTGCGCTAACAGCTGCGCCTAAAGGGAGGAGGGTAAATGCACGTGGTGCTGCAGCATTCAAAAAGTTGCACTCAAGTGACTGGAAGCCAGAGCATCGTGACTCCTTTGAACAGCTAAAGACGGCGCTTCTAGAGTCCGTCGTCCTGGCGCATCCTGACTTCAGCCGCCCATTCATCTTGTCAACAGATGCATCGACGGATGGACTGGGTGCTGTCTTATCTCAAGTCCAAGAGGGTGAGACCAAAGCACGCCCAGTTGCCTTTGCCAGTAAAGCCCTCACCCGTGCACAAAGCAAGTACCCAGCCCATCGTCTAGAGTTTTTGGCACTGAAATGGTCAGTTTGTGATAAATTCAGCCACTGGCTAAAGGGACACACGTTCACTGTGTGGACGGATAACAACCCTCTGACTTACATCCTCACTAAGCCCAAACTCGACGCATGTGAGCAAAGGTGGGTGGCGAAGTTATCTCCATACAACTTCAGCATCAAATACATACCTGGCAGTAAGAACATTGTTGCTGATGCCTTAAGCCGGCAACCCTTTACCAAGAGCCGTGTTTCCCAAAGGTTGGTGAGAGAGCCCTATGAAGCTTTGTTGGAGGAGTCGCAACAGGTGAAAGTGGACACGGTTCAGCGGGCCTTCAGAGCCAGTGCCAATCATCAAGGAGTTGAGCACCAGCCCCCACAGTGCCCGGAACATCAGTCTTTAAGTGAGGAGGAGGTATCAGCAATCCTGTCAGGCCATGTGGAATGG